ACAAAAATGTTATGGTGTTAACATAATTGTTAAATATATAACTGCCGGAATATAATAAGAATGTAAGATCAATAATGTTAGACATTATTAGGTCGACCCATAGTAAAAAGAAACAGTAACTAACGTTTAGGAAATTCAATTAATTGTAACTTGTAGCCTGTAGGTAATTAAATAGAATTAGTAGAATTTAGTATAATATTATACTGCAATCTGCTGTTTACGGTTATGATTAATGACTTGAGTTTCTGACTTAGCACTTATCGCACGTATCACTATTCACGTATCACGATTTACAAATATTTCGACTAGAATTATGGAACTTAAGTTAATAGGTCTATCTCTATGGCTAGAATAGTTCTTTATAATGAAAAATGATGCTTATCTATACATATAAAATCCAAATACCACTTACTCACTGATCGTGTATCTCAAAAGCTACGCAACGTACGGACTTGAAATTTGGAATAGAGGTTCTTCTCATATTATCACGTGCATTAAGAATTTTCTAAAATGTTGCGTTTTGGTGGAGTAATTAACAATTATAATTATTCACCGCCAATACGTATTGTGCGGCAAGGCGGCCCGCGGATTTCCAATACCTGCAACTTATCCTTTTTGTCCATCGTCATCGTGTAGATAAGAATAATTGTTCCGAGAAGTTAATCGATAATAATAATATCATGCATCGCGCGTACACCAATACTCATATTATATAATGTATATTAGGGCTTACGATTTCCAACGAGTATTAAAAGTACACGTGTACACGGATTCTGTTAACCATGTATTTACCCGTGTTTTTTTTTACGTACATATAAACGGATTCTCATATATCAATCACGTGTAAATATATACATACACACGGGTTTTTCTTAATTTTGTATGTATTTAGAAAATACAAAATTTAATTTATATTATACAAAACGTTTTTTTTATAAATAGAAATTTTTTTATCTATATTGTTAAATTTGTCCTACGATACAATCGTCTTATTGATGTACAATAATCCTCACTCTGGTTTTACCTTATGCTTAATTTAATAGTTTAATAATAATACTTCCAGATCTGACAACGAAATTGAAAATACCCATCAGTTAGAAATTATTATTCTCAAAGTTTTCACTGCGAAATGTGAGTCGGTATAAACTATTTTTATAATTTTTAAAAGTTAAAATAAATACTTAGCAATACCAGCGACATCTGTCAGTTCTGAAGGATGTTTTTCAACTGCTGGAAATATCATTACGCAAAAAAGGAATTGTTTTTTGACAGAAAATATAAATTCCAGTGGCGGATCTAGGAGGGTTCAGGGGGTCAGCTGACCCACAGTTAATATTTGTTAACAAAATTGGCCTCTTGGAAATTTTTTTCTCTTTTTAGACCTTGATTTGGACTTTTGGACAGTTGGTCCATCGGAGTTACTTGAAAAATGAATGTCATGTATATACAAAATTTAAAATTATTCAATTCATAATTTATATTTTAAATTATATCGTTTTAGTAGAAAGTTAAGTAAATTATATTTATTCATATCATAGTAAATAATCAAATTATTTCATGTTTTTATTTTGGAAATTGGAATTTTCAATTACTATTAACACGATATAGAATTTTATCTTTTCGAATTCGATACCATGTTGATAAACTATTATCTGATAAATAAATTTTAAGGTTACTTCTTAAAGTTGCGTAAAAATTAAGTATTCATTTATTGGCTACGCTGCAAATTTGAAAAGTGATATACTGTTTTAAATTCACTATGTTTTACCGTTTCATGTATTAGTGCAGTAGCATGACAATATTGACAAAATAGATCTATTTTGTCATGTGTAGTAACTATTAGTATACATATTATCACGTTTAATATACGGTTAAGTGAAGTTTTTATTCTTATTTTACGTATTTTGCGTGAATTAAAAACAATTTGAAAAAATGTCTAAAATACGAAAAAATATTAAGACTTCGATAAACCAGTGGATTGAACCATATAATAGAGACACTATTGTATTCACAACTAATGAAAACGTAATCTATTGTCAGGTATGACAAAATCTCCAAGTACCGTGTAATAAAAAATTTCAAATCACACAACATGTTCATACATCTTTTTATACTGATTCCTTGAAATGAAGTTTAAATAATAAAAAACAAATGCTATTGGAAAATGTTTACAAATCTAAAACCAATAATTTTAATGAAGATCTCTGTTTGAGCTTAGTAGCTGCCAACATACCATGGTTTAAACTCCTAGTTCCACAATTTAGAGATTTCTTGCTAAAATACACGAATCAACATATACCAGACGAGAGTTTACTTCACAATTTTATCTCGAGCCACGTTATAATAAAATAATAAAATACATAAGAGAAAAAGTAGGGGATTCGTATATTTTTTTTAATTGTAAACGAAACAACAGATATTAATGGTACCTACATAGCTAATATTTTAATAGGTGCGTTAAGTAGTGAAATCTCTTGCAATTCATTTTTAATTGCTAGTAAAAAAAACTAGAAAAATCAAATCATTCTACTATTGCACATTTTGTTAATGATGGCTTAAGAATTTTGTGACCAAGTGGTGGTAATGACGAATAAGTTTTGCTATTATTACCAGATGCAGCTCCATATATGATAAAGGCAGGTAAGACATTAAATTTATTTTCCCTAAAATGATACATGTCACATGCCTAGCACATATGCTTTAAAAAATTGCTGAAAATGTGAGAGAATTATTTCTAAATGTTAATACACTGGTAAATAATTTTAAAAAATTGTTCTTAAAAGCTTTTCGTATAGAAATCTACAAATATGTCATGCCAAATGTAGCTTTACCACCAGAACCTTACTCACCAGGTGGGGTACTCGGATTGAAGCAGCTACCTTTTGTGCTAATAATTTTGAACAGCTTAAAATTAATTATCATTGAAAAATTGAAAGAAAAAAATATAGTCAGTACAAAAAAAATGTGAAAATATGCCTGTTAGAATCTGTTAAAACTGATTTTACATTTATTAAAACTAATTTTTTTATATTTGTTAAAATTATTAAAAAATTAAGGTCATCTAATTTATCATTGTTTGATACGACAAAAATTGTTAATGAAACTATTTTAAACATGGAAATAGTATCTGGAAATAATGGAAGAATTATTAAAGAGAAAGTTTCTGATTTAATACCCAAAAATAGTGGTTTTAAAATATTGAAACATATATCAGATGTTTTATCCGGAAAAAAGAAAGTTTCTTACCACCAAATTTTACACCCATGATGAGTACTTGTATGAAATATGCACCTATAATATCTGTGGACGTCGAATGGTCGTTTAGTACTTACAAAGTGATATTCACTTAAAAAAGAACCAACATGACCCCGCAAAATATGGAAATGTATATTGTAATTAATTGTTATGAAAACAAAAAATAATGGTTTCTTTACATTTAAATATTTTTTTATATATACTTAAATATTTTGTTGATTTAATTTAATTTGATGCTGAAAGGTCCAACACTCCCAATTTTGTTATATTTGTTATGTTATAAATCTATTAAATTTGTAGTTGGTAAAGTAATATAAATTTATGATGCATATTTGAGCATATTTTTCAATTATTTGTGCGTATTAACGCATATTTTGACTCTTTTGCTTTGCATATTTGCCACATTTTTAGTGCATATAATTTCGGTCTCTAATTATAATATTAACAATAATAATACGGGAGTATACACTCACACGTTTCGGACGGCGCTCCGGCCGAACAGGTTAGGTTAGATTATAATATTAATTGAGACAGTAAAAAAAAAAAAAAAAAATAGAATAATAACGTAATAACATTGGAAAGGTTATTCCCTAGATATTGAGTCGGTGGTTTTCATTTTGATACACGCGCGCGTATCCCGTCCGCGAAACAACCTTGAGCTAACCGCAAGAAAAAAAAGAACACTGATAACATAACATGTCCATCGGTTTTTGAAAATCGTGCATAAAAAAAAAAATAACAACAGCAATAATTGGTTACGGTAAATAAAATGATTACACGTTACGTCGCTATTATTTTTTACAACGGTCTCCGAAAATATACATGTAATAATAAACGCGGCGGCGTAAAATGTCGAAAAAAGTTTCTACGCAGAATCGCAAGACGACGTACAAACGTATTCGTATTTCATTATACGTGTACGCGTCTGTCGATGGGTCCGAAAAGGAACGACCGAACTTCGAACATAATTTTAGCCAGGTAACAAAATCAATCATATTTTACGCAACGATCTATTTACGTCGGCGTCGCAGCGCGCATAAAACACGTACATTCAACATCATGTACTCCTAAAGCATCTCGACAATAGGATAGTGACGATGGTATGGCACTTACCGATATTATTCCATCGACGGCCATTCGATTGGCCTCCGAAGAAAATGCTTTCAACTGGGAAAACTAGAAAGTTGAATCGACCGCTTAAAATACTTGCGTTTTATGATAATCGTAGGAATATTGTTTTTGTCGAAAAAATTGTTATCCAATAAATCGGCGGCGCTCGGGAAAAAATATGCTAAATCACAACAACTTATAATTTGTAATCGTTTATTTCTTTACAAAGTAATTTATTTTCTTTCAAATATTATGCAAAATATCGGTCATTTTCTTATTTGCGATTAAATTTAATTCAGTTTGATAATTTTAACTTCGTGAGTTTTTACCGAGCACCACCGAGAAAAAACATAAAAAATGTATAGAAATATAGAATTCGACGAATCTTCCGCCGTTACTTCTTCCTGTCAAATAGTCTTGTAGTCATACTTTCTGCCGCGTACGTATTACTTATTGACTATTGCGGGTCACAAATCGTACACCTGTATGTATTATTGTTTTTTTTTTTTTTTTTTTTTAATTAAAAAAATATATTTTAATGATACATAACGTCAAATTTATCGCAACGTGGAAAGGAAAGGCACGAGGTCTGTTGAAAATATTTTTTAAAATCGTACAACCCTATATGGTTTTAGATTGTAACGTCGCCGCAAAGATGAGTAGCAACTGCAACTGTCCGGTCACCCAACCAGGTCCGACGTTGGCCAGCACGTGCGGCGGATCGGCTTTCATGTTATTCATGGGCTTGCTGGAGGTGTTCATCAGGTCGCAGTGCGACATCGAGGACCCATGCGGCCGTCCCTTGCCGAGAGCGTTTCCGGACAAGGAGTACGACTTCATCGTCGTGGGCGGCGGGTCCGCGGGCAGCGTGGTGGCGAGCAGACTCAGCGAGGTAAATAAACAGTGATTTAAGCGTGATGTCAACGAGCACCATGTTTTCTCTCGAATTTCAGTTCTTACCTCTCATGGTTTTCTCCAAACTTAGCTACAGTTCGAAAAATGTTGATATCAACCAACCTCCTGAAAAAAATGTGGTTTTGTATAAAATACCCATTTACTGTAAGCCATCGTTATTATAAATATTATTATTCGCATAACGATACAATAATGATAAATTAATATTACCCGTTCGTTTAAATCGGTCTATTGATTTACAGAAGTGTAAACATTATACGAGCATTTAGCGGATCTGCATGTCCCCTCTAGGGCATCTCCAGACGTTCCGATAAAACCATTTTATTCGTCGGTCACTTCGAAAAAGTGATGTTTTACGAGTAATCTCTTTGTACATATTGTTATGACAACACTGACTACGCAACCGAAATCAACGGTTTTTCCGGTAACACAGGGTAGTGTTCTCGCATGGATGGATTGGCGTACTATGACAATACAAGGGTAGTTGCCAAAGTATTATTCAATCAGCGTTCGAAAACCGTAACGTTGTCAGTGGCGTACCTGTGGGGAAGGAAGGGCAACAGGGGATTTTGCCCCTCCCCCTCCCGAGAAGTTTTTTGATGCCATAATGCAAATTAATTGTTGAGCTTAAATAATGTAAATTATAAATATTTTTAATTTTCACTGATAATAATCGTGTTTGATATCAAAAGTTAATAATGTTTTAAAGGTACGCCACTGAACGTTGTACCTTAATGTTAAACACTGTGTACGGAAATTATATATCACAGGGAGTTGTGCGTTCGTGTCTTACGCGTGGAAAAAAAATCGTTTAATTTGATGAATTTCATAAAGCGGTGCACATGACACGACGTGGTTATAAGCCAACAATAAGACCACGAGTTTTCATGCTGGGTTGTCATGAAAAAAGACGCCGCCAAACCGAAACGTCGAGAATAATATAGATTTATACACTTTCTCGGAGATTTCTCGTGCGCGATGTACTTATAATTATGATTTGATTGTCAAACACTTTTCAGAAGGTGTACACGTGTGCGGACGACAGATGTGCAAAACATTACACCGCGGTGGACATTGCTCGAAACCCGGCGAAAGCCATCCGTAATGGGTTTTCGATTCAGAATCACAGAACTGCGCGTTAATATTGTCCCGTACCGCCGCCACCCACCGCCATCGTATTTCCAAAACGATCTGTAGAGATCTCGATTAACCCGAAAATGGTTAACGATTCGTAACACGCGTTTCGTAACTAGCCTGAAGGTTTTGGAACGGCTCATCCGCCCAGGAAAAGATAATTCCTGGTTAGGCCAAATTCTATGGTTACATGTTATAGCCTTATAATATTTTTCATACGAATCCATACTCAACCAGATCTTAAATGAAAACTAAATATTTTCAAAATGCAAGTAGAGTTAAAAAAAAATGTTAAGTTTCAAGTTTCGTGAGTAAATCGATAGCGAGTCCAAATACATGTATTTTTAGTTTCTTGGCTCGTCCGTTTTACATTTAAGAATAAATATATTTTCTTTGTACTCACAATATAGTAACCAATGTGTTCGTGTAGAATTCGGAGTTCTTTTTCAATATGGTTATCATATTGTTATTGGTGGCCTGTACGAACTTGTAAAAATACAATAGTATACATAATGTTGGTTAACGATCTGTCCTTCACAATTTTCGTATCGAATTAGCCTTTGTCTCCTTAGCCAATTAAGACTTTTTAAACTAACTTCTTTCCAAATATCCTGCTAATTCTCTTCTATTTTTTTTTTTTAAGCATTACAAACCATTCAGGCCTATCGCTGTTAATACCAAAGTTTTCCACTAATCTCAATCATATATATGGTTCATGTCCCCATGCTAATCGGGTCTTAGCTTCTGCATGTACTCTTTTACTAAACCCAACCACCATTGCTTCTGTCTACCACTTGGTCATTTTCTGTCCAATTTGTTCACAAGTACCGTCTTGATCATACTGTTGTCAGCTCTTTAGACGTGGACTGTCCACTCCGATCTAATCACTATCATCACTTGTAATCTCCAAAAATTAATTTCTGCGATTTTACGAATACTCGTTCAACGGCAATTTTCTCACTCCCATACCGCAAAACTCGCTGTGACACGAAATTATCCCACTTACCGCCCTACATGTCTTATCAATTCCAACGCATCTTACTTTTATTTCTCGTAACGCGTAACACTGTGGTAAGATCTTTTAAAAAATTTAAAAAATCTCTCTTGATATGTACAGGTCCTACTTGATTTTTACCTGTACATTCAGATGAGTATAAGAACAATAAAACGTTGTTCCGGTGTCCAAGCCCTCTGTCTTGTTATGATCGCAAAGATATAAAATATAATCATTGCCACTATAACGTCGCACGTGATCGTTTTTACTGATCTGTATTTTTTTACAGGTGCCGCAATGGAAAGTGCTGTTGATCGAAGCCGGCGGCGATGAGCCCACCGGTACGCAGGTCCCGTCGATGTTCCTCAACTTCTTAGGCTCGTCAATCGACTGGAGTTTCAACACGGAACCCGAGGAAATGGCGTGTTTAGGCAATGAGGAAAGACGTTGTAACTGGCCCAGAGGAAAGGTAACATACCTGTAGCATGAATCGTGCACTGTGCCGACCGCGGCCGATAAACCGATGGGTTAATAACAGCGATCATATTTTATTATTTTACCGTACAACATCGTGTTGTCCACGAGCGTCGTCGCTGGTGAACCGCCTCTCGTCGGAGGGCGGGATTCCGAGATTTCGCGAACCTAACTGCATAGCGAGAAATCGTGGCTAGCTTATTGTTACAAAACGACGTATAGTCTAAAACCAAGGAATGCGATCGATGAGCGCGTTTTTCCAACGATGATTACCGCCGTATTAGCGACGATCGAATTATTGTTATGGTCGAGACGACTTATATAAGGAAAACACAACGGTTCGTATACGTATATGATTTTTAACGAGAGGATTGTTTCGACATCGTCGTCGTCGCTGACCCGTAAAAAATTATATCAAGATCAACATGCGATACCTGCAACTCTCTTCCCAGAAAACGGTTGCCCAACCCGATCCAAAATAATAAACATTTTTAATAATATAATTCCAATTAGGAAACGGATTTATATAAAAGCGGATTTATATCGAACACGTATAATTATTTGTGTATAGGCAATTGATACTTAGTCAAAAGTTTTTAACGACCGGAATAGAGTGCCGAAATGTTATTCGTTGTCTCTGCACTCTGCAGTGATTTTTCATTCTACTTATCTGAAATTTGAAATATACACAATTTTATAGTACAATAATAGTATAATAATATAAATTATAATAAATAAATATAATATAATCGAATACTAAAATTAACCATATTGGGTCAGTAGTCGTTTTTATTTTTATTTTTCATTCCTATTGTGTATTTAAAATAAAAAAAAATATGTTAGTACTGCCATTTTCGCTTAAATGTTGTGAAATATTGATTTCGAATCGTGTTATTCTGTTTAAAAGCATGTGCATTGAACGAAAAAAAAATAAACATTAGAAAATCACTCTGGGCATTTAAATCGTCCAAAAAAACAGTTTTTCATAAATGTGTCGTGATCTAATAATAGATATATAAACAATATACGCATTTTAATAGTATTATAAAATGTCCTTGGCTTTTTATTTTTCTATATAAATCTTATTTAATAAATTAATGAACATCACATCGCATTAACCTCTAACGTAACATTTCATTTGATGCGTACGATTCCGAGATTTTGCAGAAATTGAAGTGACCATAATATTGGTTTGATTAAAACCTTCAGGTCAGCATTTCGTTTTCAGCGAGGTTTTCGAATCAGGATCGTTGGTCCGTATAAAACCGACCGAGGTTGTGCGGTGTTGTAAGACGGACTCGTGTCGACAGATATCGTTTTTTGATCTCAAGCCACTATAAGATATTGTTTTCGTGACAGGGGGAAAAAAAATAAATAAATACAACAAACGGAAACATACACAATAACTATACTTCGCTTGAATTAGTAATACTATAATCATGCAAATTTCACCACGGAAATCTATCGTTTTATAAATCTTTCCAAAATTAATTTTCTAAAAAGGACGACCGTCGCAGGTCTGTGCGAATTACAGTACTCATTATCAGTATTGGGACTTATCTAGATAAATTTTTTGTCATCTCTTATCTTATCTAGATAATTAACGCTAAGTTATCTAATTACTTATCTAAGATAAAATTTTTACTTATCTAGATAATTGTCTGTATTCTTGCCAAGATTAGAGTTATTTTTATTCTTGTATGGAGACGAATCCAATAAATCAGAAATCTTCAAAATCGGTCCAGCCGTTCTTGAATTATAAATTCTGTAAATAACTTAACTTTCTTTTATACATATAGATTTTATATTCATAATCATATTTCGTGTATTATTAATAAGATATTATTATTTCTTGGTATGACATTTCGTTTGTATTTTCATGTCGGGAAAATATTTTTGGTATTTTTAAACTTAATTTCTTATTTTTCCGTGGAAGTTCCAAATATAGTAGGTATTTGATTTTAGTATACACATGTAACTCATACGCTGAATAGTCATTACTTAACTCTTGGAAACCATCAAGTCGTAATTACTTAATAATTACTTAAGTCGTAATAATGAAAATCATCAAATTAATGTTATATGGAAAATAATTGTTGACTTAAAATAATTTTTTATGTATTCTGTATTCATCCTGATACGTACAGAGAAATTTTATTATTTTTTTTTTTTGTGTAACATTTTAGTGATTAACTATCATTGAATACTGTACATTATATATAAATACTGCTTAATGGTACATACACTACATTACTACAATAAACATTAAACACCTAGATACCTATTGATAATAATGATTATAATTGAGTCTTCATAGATATTATTAGAATATGAAATATTGACCAAAAAATAACATTTTTTGAAAATATTTTTTTTTTATCCAGATAAAAATGAAATCTTTTAATTTATCTAGATATTTTAATTTTTTTTATCTATTATCTTTATCTAGATGAATATGGACATAGTATCTTTCATCTTTATCTAGATAAATTTTGCATTATCTATTCCCAACACTGTTCATTATATAGTATTATAATATTTGGCGTTCCTCATCGCCTCTAAGCGTACGAATAATGGCCGCTGTCTCCAATTATCATTACTGTTGATTATAATTACACTGCGCTAGTTGAAAACCGCCACTGTTGCTTAATTAGTCTATGAAAAGAAATCCGCTTGCTCGTCGACACGTTTAAAAGCGAAAAAAAACCGAATTGTGAAAACGTATCTATTTGTAACCTATACACACGCGCTCACTATCTGCGTATAATATTATGCGCAACAGTGTCATCATCAAAAAAAAAATAATAATAATAATAATAATATAGGCGTAATTTTCATAATGTTTCTATCATACTGCCGACTCAATACATACAGAGTACCCGAACGTATATTTTCCGTTGGAAATATCTTTTCTTCCAACGGTTTCGTTTTAGTGTAATTTTTCAGTAGGAGGCCATATCAAATTCGTACTTACATGCCTTATTCTAATTCTATTTCTTTAAAATAGCAATTTTATGAAACAATTTAGTTTTGAAACTTTTTGAAGTTCAATTTTTTCAATTTTTTTTTCAATCGAAAATCCAATAATTGGTTTCATAATATTTTATCCCATTACAAATCATATGCCTATAATTAATACATAATGTTGCACAATAATGGAAGAGTTGCATGTGGATTCATTTTTGCTGCACAACTAGGAAAATAATCTAGACGGGGTTCTTTGATCCAAGACCACCCCACAAACCAATTCTTATGTGAGCCCCGTATCTCCACTATCAAGCGGATTAAATACAAGTGTATGTATGTGTGTATGTGTATGTTTGTGTGTGTAGGTGTATAGTTAGAAAAAGAGAAAAAAATAATGATGAAAACCACTTTTTTTGGTCGCTGAATAATATTTAGAATATGTACACATATACACGTTAATCCACAACGGTATGGAATGTCATATTTTTGCCAACAAACTAACAGGCAGGTCCTGTATTTATTTGTATAATTTTTCGTTTAGTTTCAACGTGTTCGAGATCAGATGCACCAAAATACGCTTATACCATTCATTTTGGAATCTATTAGCTCGTGATATCATATATTATACTTGGGTAGGTACATTGTTAAAATTTGCAATTGCTAGAATATTAGAAAACGTATATTTATTATTTATGCGCACATGGTTTCGATAACGGTTACATTACGCTTGTTGCACTACGTTGACGAAACATTCGAAGGCGGAGGGGGTTTGCAATGCTCGTATCCTTCGACGCAGTAATAATAATTGTTCTATGTCGCATCGATCCAGCGCGAAACAGTGATTAGTATTTTCTGATTGAATTGTTTTTAAGTAATGGCATTCATGGTTGGATGATGTGAAAACACGATTCCACGAAAATGTGGAAAAATTATTCGAACGGCACAGAAACTAAATTACTTGTTTATGCGCGAGCAAAGCAAACCAGCTATTACACAGTTTACGCATGACGTTATACAAGTATAACTAGAACAAAATATCTCAAGATCGTTGATATTCGCTTCGTTTAGAATATTTTGTTATTATTATTATCATTATTGTTTCGATAGGATTTCAAGGACTGGCATTAGCCCACTTCCACAATCCCGTATAACGTAATAGCTTCACAGTAGTATTGCATGATAAAAAATTAAAAAATAAGTAACCGTAAGTTTTTATAAAACCGTTAATCTTCCGGGATTTATCGGTATGGGCGCCGTTTTTGAATTTTTATTTATAAATTATTTAACCTTAGCGAAAACTAATTCGTTCGTCCGAGACGAGTTTAAATGGGAAACAAACGCGATGCAGCGATTTTGATTTGCCGTCCATGACGTTTATCCACAATAATAATGGAAGTTGGTAAATTGGGTTCTAAATAACCTTTTCTCGGTAAATTGGGTCCCAGGAAAATAAAGGCAGTAGGTAAGTTGGGTCCCGGGAAAAGACGGTGTGTCCGAATTGCATGCCAGGTTTCAGAGGGTTCTGTCCGAATTGCATGCCACGTCTTAGAGGTGTATGTCCAAATTACTGCCGGAAAGTCATGCGTTTGGGCGAATTTTTAAAAATTGCTATGTGGCTGGGCAATTTAGTATTTAGCTTATTTTTAGAAATTTTTATAATTTAATTTTTAAGCTATAGGTGCATATACGTACGTATGTATAGACATTTAATGATGTCCAATACCAGATAACAATATTATTATATCGATAAGATAGAGTATTGACTATAGAAATAAAGTTGTATGGATGATTAACTTTAAAATTGTATGATGTAATTTCTGAAATATCACCTATTATAGATAAGAAAGGTAGAATCGATGTCAAAATGAGAGGAAAAATGGATTGATAAAATACAGCATCCCAGGATATTAAAAATAAATAATAAAAAAAATTGCTAAAATCGAATCGGCATGCAATTCGGACATACAGTTCTTAGACGTGGCATGCAATTCGGGCAGACCCCTTAGACTTGGCATGCAATTTTGATGCAGCCGGAAAAGAAAGGTAGTAGGTAATTTGGGTCCCAGGAAAAAAAGGTAGTAGGTTAAGTCCAAGGTAAATAATTTTCGTTAAAAACTTAAAAGATACTAATTTGACAAACTCAAATCGACGTACAGTACGCAATGCACGCTACATAAATATAGAGAAAATATCAAATTTCGTACACTCGTGTCTGTGTGTAATCATAAGAACTATTATCAATATTAGTGTTAATTGATAACTGACACACGATATACGACAAACTAATGTACGTATATGCCTATATACGTATCTTAATCAGACATAGTTAAAGTTACAACGTTACGAGATTATTAGATCACAATGGAATCGATAACCGATAAAAACAGTGTGAATTGTTATTTGTAAAACGACTACGGCCAGGTAGTTAGTAGTTGGTACTCAATTTATCTACTACCTTTTTTTCCCCGGGACCCAACTTACCTAATATCTTTTTTTTCTCGGGACTAAATTTATCGCTTTCAAAATGTACAGAAAATATCGCGGACTCAATTTACCTAGCCCGATAATAATTACCCATTTGTCTATCGTAATCCGTTCGGCGTGCAGTGATTGCTGATTAATTAATCCGCTCCGAACACGCACACGTATACAATCAATCATAGTATATGAATCAAGGTGCTGATAAAAAAACAAACGTTGACAACGTGGGATGAAAAATCAAAGAAAAAAAAAAAAGTTAGTAAAGGGTAATCTACGAGCGAACCGAATTCTTGATTTTTAAACGTATGTTTGACTATAAGTGTTGTTAACTTATAAAATAAAAATTTGTTAACTCGTTTTTGCTTATGATGTGTAGAAAACGCGACAAATGCAATCTCTTAATTTGTAATTAAATAATTTTTTACTTCGGGACTAATATTTTAATGTTGGCCGGAGGAAATCCCGTAATAAGTACACAAATTTTGATATTCCTATTTTTTTTTTTTTATACCGGTCACTATGAATAAAATTGTATATCCTTATATGAACAATTTAAACTATATACTGGTAATTAATAGATGAACTGAACGGGGATTTTAAATTTGTGTTTAGAAACCTAAAAAAAGAAATCTCTAATTTACGGCCGGAATCGCCAGGTCGGTAGATCATAATTGAAAATCATTACGATACTATACCGTATCGTCTTTGTTGCCGCGATAAACATCGTCAGACGATAATGCAATAAATCATCGTCTCGTATTATGCAACACGTACGTGTTATTCTGTCGCTCAAATGAACCAGTCGTGCGGAATATTTGGGGACACAATGTGAAGCACGTTGAGGCTACACATCTATCTTATCCATCCATCACGGAAAAAATCAACTGAACAAGTTATTAAGTAGCTTAACCGTAAATAATTACTAATAATTTGCAAAACGTTTTTTCTATTTTGTCTCATCTTACAACGCAGAGTACCCGTTGTATGTCCGATCATTATTCCTCTTCCGTTTCACGCCCGCGCACCTGAGTTTACCGTCGGTGTCATTTGAACGCGTCTGAATGTAAAATTCGATTTGAATTCGTCGTTCACATTCTATCCTGCACAATGTCTCCGAGTCGATTACAAAACACCGTTACGAATCTGTCGTTTAAATTTTTTTTTTTTTCCATTCGAATCTCAACTTTCCATTGATGTTACATGTTATACATATGTTCGGGTGTGTGTATGTATATGTGTGTGTATATTGTATATTGTGACTTGGGTCGAATGACGTCTAAGCTACCTAATAGTTTTTCGCCCGACTTTATTGTGCCCAATCTCTTTATACGGACGACGAGAAAAAGAAAATAAACACGCGCCCGAGGCTCGTTATTTATACGTCATTACTGCAGTTCATTAATCCTTGTCCCGCGATTACGACGGCCTGTCGCATATTATATATACGTCATGCCTGCGCGTGTACGCGTGTGCGATAAGTGAGTGCACAAAACGATATCTAGAAAGCATCAATCATTGTGTTCGCACAGTTATACTCTTGTATTGTTATTGTTATTATTATTAAATCGTTTCGACGATTATACCGGAGGCAATCTTCGGCTACCGTTTTGTCTCAAATTTTCCGACGGGATGAACGAGACATAAATTACAATATTATATTGCGCGCACTGTGGTGTTGCGTTAAAACAATCAAATACTAGTGAAATCATTACGGTTATTGTTACATCACCGGCACCGTGGTACACAAGCGGTACAAGAGCGGACTGAATAGACGAAATTTCAGGGTGGAAAACTTTTCGGAGCCTACGTGTTAAGCAGTTAACAGTAACGAATAGTTTACGAAAAAATCGAAACATTCAATATACTTACCGACGACATCTTGGTGGAAGAATAATTTTCTCTTTTCAAATTTCAGATTCTAAACGAAGCGATAAGCGCATTTCTTTTTTTACGTTTTAATCAATTTCCTTGGTATAGCCTTGTCAAACTTTTGGACGGTAATATTCTAAAACGAACAAGCTATTCATCATCATCTATCATCAGAAACGTCATTCAATTATAAAACTCTTTGTTCGTGTTATAATCCGTTATATTTTAAAAGTCAATCATTGCGATAATAATAATAATAATATTAACATCATTAACATATCTTTGACATATCTTTTATCATATCTAATTCCGTTTTCGATCAATTTGTTTCACAATATTTTTCAAATCTATTCATTGCGAGACTGTTACCTTGGTAAAATGTTATATAAACCATTTGAATTAGTTTCGCATTCGTGGATTCGCACTGCAAAATTTTATTTCACACAACCAGGATTTTTTTGGTCGATTTTTCAGGGACGACGAGACGCTGAGATTCGTTTGATTTTTTTCGGCAAATTCGTTAAACGATAATTGCACGGTTACCAAACAATCTATCAATCGATAAACGAACGTTCCGGACTCATCACTATCGAATCGGACGCGTTTCAACGCGGCAAATATCCTCGAACGACCGTTAGAGGCAAGAGACGTATGAACGGCATATGCGTTCATCGTACACTCGATTCAGTCGTGATTCGATTTCAATCGAGTTCGCTTCTCGATGACGTCACGGTATAAAAGTCAAATCAGCCATATTACACTGTCAGCGTTGGACAAACACCTACTATTATTATTGTTATTATACTATTGGTTTTATGTCGGCCGTTTAATCAGGATTTCGAAACAGCGCAACAGTACCACAACGTGTAATTATCATCGCAGTTATTATTGTGCATTATTATTACACATGACGCGCACGCAATTTAATTGGTCGCGTTCTCTTAACACGAGAACGAGTTATCACGCAATCGCGGGGGGGTGCACTGTTGATCGCTCTTGTTACAACGATCGTCGTCGTAACGAGTTACGATCGTGTGTTCTGTCGAAATCCGTGTGTCACGAACGAGAAGAAAAAACGACTGCCAGCCCCGGTGGAGATCGCGGCTGCTCGGTGGTGAAGGCCTCCACGGTCCTAGAACGTTTTTATTTATTTGTTTCATACGACCCTTACAGAAATCAACTTTACTAACTGTATTGCAACAAATCATAGAACAATAGAATAATAATAAGAACTGGTGAATAAAAAAATAGAATACCATGGTTTAACTTAAATAGAATTCAAAAATCAAAAGTATAGGATGAAATATTCTTCGTAAACATACGTCGAGGTTTACAATAATCCAACTTCATGATTCCGTAATGCACGTTGCCTTCAAACCCTTGATCGTATTTTCTCCATCGGCACTCTGTTAAGATGTAAATCGTTATTTGTTCCCGATTGCCACAGCCACAAACCGAGTAGTCTTGTTAAATTCATGCGAAAGAGTGCCACATCGACCACTACCTGTTCGCAATCTGTTTTACGTAGACCGGATGCTACGAGGGAGATTCTTTTCTAGGACTTCATGATTGGGGTCGGGTACTAATCTTCCGGTTCGGTGCATAGAAGCTGGCCCACTCTTACTCCATTCCTCAACTTTATATCACTGCCTCATATCCCCGTATCACATCCCGGGATGTAATATTACTTAATGATGGCGCGGATGAAAGAATGAAACGAGTGGAAATGATTTCCAAAACTGTTATGTCGCTGATATGCCCACTGTAGTTTGAACGGACTAACGGCGCGAGCGAGGCAAAAATAAAAATAAATAATAACAAACAAATATTTCCATCGTCTAATGTACGTGCTACGTACCCAACAAACGGCACACTTTAGATGTACGCTCGTGAATTGAAAACGCCGTATCGTTCACGACAATGGTTTTTTTTTTATTTCGTTCGAACCCCACTTCAAACTCTTTCTGTAAAATCCTAGTCATTGGCTAGTTCACAGGTTACACCGACGTTCTAGAACCGATATCGAAATTTACCAATCATCAACTTATTGTACTGACATAGATCTGTGGGCAACTGTTTTAATGAAAAATTCACCACGAGCCTGTTGTTACAGATCGCAATAAATTAAAAAATTTAAAAAATAAATATCTCACTCAATATCCACTTATAGAATGTTCATAAGAGAAAAAAAAATATTTTGGTAGAATGTCTAGAAATATTTGGAAATAACACTTACGGTAAAGTATCCTGACACTTATCCTCTCACTTATAGATATGATAAAGTTGAGAGGTAGAAAAAAGAAATAATAATGCACGCTCGTATAGTTTTCAAGTATAAACCACGGGAAGTATGCCCATTGTCTAAGCATCCGGAATCGTTAAACTTAAAACACTTGAAAATATATCCGTTCGGACCATGAGCAACCGCGGGAAAGTATTTGTCCCGAGCACACTTTCCGGGATCGTGTAGGACCTCGTGCTTTCCGGACGATTCCGATCCCTCGCGCGTTCGATCGTAAACGGATTGTGTGTGTTAAAGTAATTAATTAAAGTATAAGTGATCTTTCGTCACAGGTGCTGGGAGGTACGAGCGTGATGAATGGCATGATGTACATGCGGGGTAGCCGGCACGACTTCGACGGATGGGCGAAGCTGGGCAACCCGGGCTGGAGCTACCAAGAGGTGTTGCCGTACTTCTTGAAGTCGGAGGACAACCTGCAGGCGACCGAGATGGACACGGGGTACCATGCGGTGGGCGGGCCGCTGCCAGTGGGCCAGTTCCCGTACCACCCGCCGCTCTCGCACGCGATCCTTGCCGGTGGCCAGGAGCTGGGCTACCAGGTGCGGGACCTGAACGGGGCGCTGCACACGGGCTTCATGATCGCGCAGACCATGTCGAAGAACGGGTCGCGGTACAGCTCGGCGCGCGCGTTCTTGCGGCCAGCCCGCAACCGACCTAACCTGCACGTGATGCTGAACGCGACGGTGACGCGGGTGCTGATCGACCCGGCCAAGATGGCCGCGTACGGCGTGGAGGTGCACCGTAACGGGCGGACGGAACGCGTGTTGGCCAGTGCCGAGGTGGTGTTGTGCGGGGGTGCGGTCAACTCACCGCAGCTGCTGCTGCTGTCCGGCGTCGGTCCCAAGGATGACCTGAAAGCGGTCAAGGTACCGGTGGTGCGCGACCTGCCGGGCGTCGGCCGCAACCTGCACAACCACGTGGCGTTCTTCGTCAACTTCAACATTAACGACTCGTCGACCACCGCTCTCAACTGGGCCACGGCCATGGAGTATCTGCTGTTCCGGGACGGGCTCATGTCCGGCACCGGCATCAGTGAGGTGACCGCGGTACTGCCGTCCCGGTACGCCAACCCGGTGGACGACAACCCGGATCTGCAGTTCTTCTTCGGCGGCTACCTGGCCAACTGCGCTAAGACCGGGCAGGTGGGCGAGCGCGAGAACGAGTCCGGCCGCCGCTCTGTGCAGATGATACCCGCGGTGCTACACCCCAAGAGCCGCGGATTCCTGAAGCTCAAGACTGCGGACCCTCTCGCGCACCCGGCCATCCACGCCAAGTACCTCAGCCATCCAGACGACGTGGCCGTGCTGATCGACGGCATCAAGATCGCCATCCGGCTGTCCGAGACGACCGCACTCAAGAAGTACGGCATCGAGCTGGACCGCACGCCCGTGGCCGGCTGCGAGGACCTGCCGTTCGGGTGCGACGCGTACTGGGAATGCGCGGTGCGCCGCAACACCGGCCCGGAGAACCACCAAGCGGGCAGCTGCCGCATGGGACCGCCCAGTGACCCGGCCGCCGTCGTAAACCATGAGCTCAAGGTGCACGGCGTGGATAGGCTGCGCGTGGCCGACGCGTCAGTCATGCCGGCCGTCACGTCCGGCAACACGCACGTGCCCGTGGTCATGATCGCCGAGAAGGCGTCCGACATGATCAAGAGCCGGTGGGTGGGTCGCAAAGCGTGGAATAAGTGGTAAGCCGCACGACAACACTACCACCACCTACTACTAGCACCAACACTCATACTACTACTAACACGTCACGTCGTCTCGGGGTAACGCGGCGCACTCGTCACTAACCGATCGACCGGGCCATTTGCACACGTAGCGGTTCGTCCTCCCGAGCTCTCCGCCGACACTGTTCACTAACAAAGAGCTTCCAAACCCGTTTGTTTTTCTCATCACCCTACACTTGTTGTACTTTTGCAGAACGACTACGCCGCCGCCGCCTCCATCCGAGTGAACTTTGCTGCCGAGTCCTGCGACCACCGGACCCCGCGAGCCTCCTCGGACGTTACAACTTTTTATCGCATCCGCAACACGTCACGCCCTGCATCGTTATTATCATAATTACTATAGTGTTACTACCGCGAATGCTCGTGTTCGTACCGCTGCAACAGGACATGATAATAATAATAATTATTATTGAAATAAAATTGAAAAAATTATTGTGACGATATCGTAATGGTAACGATGTCTTTACGATATTTTCGACCTGTACTAACGAACACGAGTGCCGCAAATTACACACACACACACACATATACTCGCGTATACCTATTTATGTTATTTACCCGTTTCATTCGATTTACACTGCTTAAGTATTATTGTATTTTCTGTGCGTTGAAACATTTTACAATACTACGATTATTACTATTAAGTATTTATATTGCATTAGATTATTGAAATTATATTATTATTATTATTATTATTATTATTATTATAGTGTTATTTTAAATATTTCACACGTCATGTTATGACGAACGATTATTCAATATTAATTTTAATCGACTAATTATTAATAAATTGCCATTACCAGAAATAAGGGCCATTATTATGTGTAACATTATTATGTTATCGAAAAGCCAATGGATAAGCTGCACCACGATCGCGACGATATTATAATTTTTATTGTGTACCGTTCCGTTGTGCGCGTCCGCTTTTTGGTACGCTCATACATAAAGCTGCGCGTTGTGTTTTAACTTTTAATAATCTGTTGTTGTGTAAGACGTACGTCGTAATTTTATTGTCTATTAGATCCACAGATTTGTAAACGCGTTATACGGTAGTAATATATTTCACACTTTAGGACAAATTTTGAAAATGTCTCCGTTTATGATAAAAATTATAACACTTGTATAATTAGTTTGTTTGATAATTTTCGAGTTTCATTTCATTGCATTAACGTTACAGACCGTATAACGTTGGCCGATAGCATTCATTTATTTATCTTTTATTTTACTATTATTATTATTTTTTCTAAACGATTTTTAAATAACTAATATATTATGCCGAAATCTTCGAAACCATAAAAATAATTGCATAAACCTACAAACAATATTATGTTTCCTGTCGCATCGTAATAATAGAGTAAACACCGTTACGCATTTATCTATCCACGTAATTGTAGTATATTATTTTAATGATATTTTATTTAGGCATTTTATATAACTGTATAATAATAGTACGATTAATTGTATTTGTTTTGTATTCAAGAAAAAAAATCAAAAATATTAGTAAAATTAATTACATTCTTATAAATTATGTTAACAATATGAACTAGTAATATTAGTCCTTAGTTAAATATTGCGTATTGTTGTACTTATAGCGTATACGGAATAAAACTGTATGATTTACATTGCATTTTTTTCGTATCCTTTATATTTCAATATATCCTATGATTTATTTTATAAAGCATTACCGTTGCAAAATTATGTATCTAATTGGTTTAGATTTTCGGATAATCCGAAAATAACATTAATTATAACATTTATAACCTTAATTAAAATTAAAATTTATCACGACTTCCCGCTTAATGATGATTGTGGCGATGCGTGTGCGGTCTGAAATCTGACACAACAGTCGTGGTATCCCGATGATTCGATACATTTTTAGTTTTTAGTTTTGAAATCTATTCGTCTTTCGTTCGACTACGATGTCATTCGGTCTCATCCATTTGGTTGTTTTATCAATTCACAGTATTTTTATGTATACATTTACAGTAATTCGAATCTCTATATGTTAATGTAATAATGTTGTCTTGAACTCCTAAAGTCTTCGAGAAAACATACTACTCAGTCTTAAGGAAGGACGACACGATAACACGACTAGTCGTGCTATTGAGGGATTTTTTGAAATATTAATCAACAGACATTTAAAAAATAATAAAATTAAATTTCATGACTTTTTTCTAATCATGACCAATTTGAATTTCTGTTATCATTGGTGGAAAAAGAGTTAATCGTACAGTCTAGCAATAGAATGAGGAAATCAAATTCGCCGGCCAAAAAATTAGCTGTAACTTTGAGGTATGTACATAATTCACTCAATATTTTTATAAGGTATTTATTGATATTAATTTTGTTTTATGGCTTTTTAAATAGATATCTTGTAACTGGCAAGTCCTTAAGATCCCTATCATTTGCATTTCGTATAAGTCATTGTTACTTAAATGCTATTAAAAAAATACATTGAAATTGTTGAAAATTGTTTTAAAAGACTCCGTACCATTGATTTTAAACAAACTGTAAAAGAATTTGCATGTAAATGATATTTTCCTAATTGTACCACAGCTATTAACAAAAAACATATTTGCATTCGAAGACCGGGTAACTTAGTATCATTATTCTACAATTACAAAGACTTTTTTTCCATTATTCTTCTGGCGATGGTGGATTCAAATTATAAATTGATTGCTGTTGAAGTTGGGTCCTTTGGCAAAGAAGAAGATAGTGGAATAACTTTGAAATCCAATATGGGACAGCAAGTTTTAAATGGGTCATTTGCATTTCCGGAGCCTTGTAAACGTCCTGGATCAGATAAGTCCCTCATGTAATGTAGGTGATAAAACTTTTAGTATCGTCCACTAAAATTATTAAAATTAATTAAAAAATTAAAACAAAAGTACCTATTTCATATTTAAATTTATATTTTAATAATAGGTACTATAGGTAAAAACTAAGTTGTACTAATGTGGTAGAATATATATTTTTTATTTACTTACAAGATTTTCCTTTTTTAATTTAAATATCTTTCCAGATTATTTTTATAATTTGAAGCTGCAATATTTTACAAGATACGGTTGTTTTGTACTTCTTCCTCTGAGAGCAAAAATACTAATTTCGACATGATGTCACTTTGGTGTATCGTGTATCTAACCTAACCGTACCTTTAACGGCATACATTGATTTTTGTATATTGCCATGGTCATTTTATTAACAATCTATTTTCTCATTGTTATTTTCGTTCGTAGATTTGATCAAGTAGTTTAACACATACCGTTCTATTTTTATGTTAGTAAGTTGTTGATATAGTTCCCTCTGAGAGCGATTGACTTAATCAGCGCTTTGTTCAGTTTGACCAGGGGGTGGACACAACACGGCGAGAACGAAATCAGCGGCCATTTTAATTAAGGTACTTTTGTTATCAAATTGTAATCAGTGATAACTGATATTCGTTATTAATTGTAATTTCAATTTTAGTAATTGTTCAATATGTGATATACCAAACAGTGTGAAACATGGCGACCTACTGGGTACCAAGAAGTTTTAACTTGTGGATCATTTTTTAGATAGTATGTCTACCATAATACAGGCCCATGTGCAGGATTTCAGAATGGGAAGTGTTTGTTATGTTGTTATGCGTTTGTAGCTTTATACTCTTGTCTTTTATTATACTGATAGTGTTTATACCTTCATATGGATACCAGGATACCTATCCCAACTGATGTCAGATGTGTAGCAGCTAATAGTAAGGCTTGTATAGTTTGTGTATTTATATTATTTTAACTCCCCCCCTCTTCTTTAATGGGTGGGAGAGAGTTGGATAAATCGTCAACTGCCCATCTTAAATCCTCAGTAAATACTGCTTAGCATACTATATGGGTGGCCACATGAGCTTGACACAAATTCCAAATTTGTCATTAATTTTATTAGTTTTGGTTACAGATTCGAAAATTATTACATTTTTAATTAAGTTAATTTTAACTTAGTTAATTTTTTTACCCATTAATTTTTAACTTAACGAAGTTATTAAAAATACATTAGTTAACTTTTAAACTAACTTAACTTACTTTTTTTTTATATTAACTTAACTTAACGAGTTAAAAAAAACCATTAACTAGCCCAGCCTTGGTATATTTCGTTCGAAAATTAAATTGTTAATACTTTTGGCCTGTTTTTTTTCGTTTCTAAATCTCCTTTACATAACCGGTAACGTCAATAACATCGATAATCGACTGTTGGTCTTTTGTGTAACAGCAAAGTTCCTCGATTTCATAGCCGATTATAGAATTGCCGAAGTTCGCAAGCGCTTCGGTTTTTGGCTTCCTAAAACAGTACAACGATTTATTTAGTCGATCGATTTGCGACTGCACTATTATCGCGCTTGTTTTCTTTTCAGTTTATTCGATTTTCGCCATAGCTCGACTTTTCGTACAAAACAATAATTTCAGATTTTAAATTGTTGAAATTGTTATGGAATCTATGTACCAAAACGTATTGATACTAAAAATTGGAACAGTATTTTTTTGTTATTCAAAAAATAAATAATATCAATATGTACCTAACAGTAGAACTATTTTTCAACATATGCTGGGTTTAAAACATTTTACGCACATTTGTACATTATAAAAATGAATAATTTGAAAGGTGACTTATCTAGCGGTATATCTAATGTGGCGTATTATTTTTGAATACTTTACTACAAATCTTCCAAAAACGAAGATAGGTCTTATGCATTGTATACTGAGAAAAATCGGTGTGGATCTATTAACAGAATTGTTTTGTTAAATTTGAATTATCAACAGCGCATGGACCAACCAAATTCAGAGAATGAGCAGAACATGGGATATATATGACCAGAGAATTGTGTTTGACTATTCACACTTGTAATCCAGTATACGCTACGGAAATGTTACTGGCATTATCGTACGACTGTCCTCTGCAGTTTTTTATGTCCATTCCAAGATTTTTCAAAAATGAGAGAACTGCGTGCTCCATTTTTTCAGATTTATGGCCTAATTTTGGTAGAAAACGCAAAAATCGTTCCACTAGAGTAGAGTCTTTCACATATCTCAAAATAAACGATAATTGATCTACGTGACTAATATCAGGAGTAGAATCAACGACAATAGAGAAGTACTTGCATCATTTAATTTCATTTACAATTTTGTTCGTTACATGTTTGCCCATCAAGTTTATAAATTCATTACAAATTGTTAACGATAAATATGACGTATTACCTTTACCAGGATTTCCGCGAATAGCAATATGATTTGCTAAAAATGAATCAAATTCTGCTAGTAATTCCAGACACATCATGTAGTTTCCGTTATGGAATGATCCAAATCGTTCATTATGTCCCCTGAAAGCAAGTCATCGACTGCTGAGTTTTTTAATCACTGCCAGGACTCGTTTTAAAACGTTTTTCCAATGATGGATTTCAGCATCAATTTGCGAACAAA